TTAAAAAATATCTGCCTAACAAGATAATTGCACATGAGAGGGAATGTAGGGTATGTGACCAAACAAATGCATGACTGCCCTTAACAGCAAAACCTTACAGGGTATTTTTATGTGGGGGGATCTGGTTTCCATAATTATCACATGATATTCAAAATGTCTAGTTTCCAACAAAAATCTAAAAGGTAAATTTGATAACATTTATCTGTAAAGATGTATGTACCCCGATGTTCACTGCAGCATTATCCATGGTAGCCAAGACATGGAAACAACCAAAGTGTCCTTCGATAGATGATTAGATAAAGAAGAGATGCTATATATATGCAGTGGAATATTACTCAGCCATAAGAAGAGACGAAATACTGCCATTTACGACAATGTGGATGGATCTTGAGATTATCATGGAAAGTGAAATAAGTCAGAAAAAGTTGAGAACTATATGATTTCATTCATGCATAGAATATGAAACTAAAAGCAACAAATGAACAAGATAAACAAATAAAAACTCGATAGACAGAGACAACAGTTTAGTGGTTACCAGAGGGAAAAGGGGGTGGAGGGGGTGGTAGATAATGGTAAAGGGGGTCAAATATATGGTGATGGAAGGAAATTTGACTCTGGGTGGTGAACACACAATGCAATATACAGATAATGTATTATTGAATTGTACACTTGAAACCGATATAATTTTATCAACCAATGTCACCTCACCAAATTTAGTAAAAAACTAAAAAGGCACACAAAGAAGTGAGAAGTATGGCCCATTTAAAGGGCAAAAAAATAAACTGACAGCATCCCTGGGGAAGCCCGGACATTGCGCTTCCTAGACAAAGATTTTAAATCAACTGTCTTAAATAAGCACAAAGAGCTAAAGGAAACCACAGATGATGAACTAGGAAACCAGAAGAATGATGTCTTATTAAATAGATAATATTAATAGAAATAAAAAAAGATACCAAATAGAAAATTTAGAACTGGAAAGTATAATAGCGGAAATGAAAAATACACTAGATAGGTTCAATAGCAGATATGAGCAGGCAGAAGAAAGAATGAATGCTAAAACAGGACAATTTAAATTATCAAGTTGGAGGAGCAGAAAGAAAAAATAAAAACAACCTGAGAGACCTCTGAGATGCCATTAAGCTATATGCATTATGTGAATCTTAGAGAAGAAAATGTTGACTAAAAGCATGGATCTACACATCCAAGAAACACTATGAAATTCAATTAGACTCAACTCAAAGAGATCACATCAAAACACATTATAATTAAAATGCCTAAACCTAAAGACAGAATCTTGAAAGCAGCAAGCAAAAAGCAACCTGTCTTATAGAAGGGAGCCTTAATAAGATTAACAGCTGATTTCTCACTGATTTCTCATTAGAAACCATGGAAGTCACCAGGTGTTGGAATGACATTTAAAGTGTAGAAGGAAAAACAAAAAACAGCAACCAAGAATTCTACACCTGACAAAACTATCCTTTATAAATGATGGAGAATTAAGATATTTTCCGATAAAAGCTGAGGAAGTTCACTGCTAGTCAACTTGCCTTAAAAGAAATGCTAAAAGGAGTCCTTCAGGCTGAAATGAAAGGACACTAGACAGTAACTCAAAGCCATACAAAGAAATAAAGAATACTAGTAAAGACAAGTATGTAGGTAAATATAAAAGCCAGTATTATTGTATTTCTGGTTTATAACTTGTTTTCCTTTATATGACTTAAAAAACAAATAAAACTATAATTATAAAATTCTGTTAATGGGCACACAATATATAAAGATATACTTTGTGACAATCATAACATAAAAGGAGAGATTGGAACTGTATAGAAGCAAAGTTTTTGTATGCTGATTAAACTAAATTGACATAATTCAAACCAGATTGTTATAAATTTAACAGAGTAGTCCTCAAGGTAATCATTAAAGTAATCACTAAGGAAGTAACTAAAAAATACAAAAAAGGAGAAGAGGATTAAAATGTTACACTAGGAAAAGTCAATCATGCAGAAAAGAAGGCAGTATTGTGGGAGTTGTGGAACAAAAAAGATACGGGTTATAGAAAAAAACTTCAAAATGGCAGAAGAGCTTCCTTATCCATATTCACTTTAAATGAAATGGATTAAACCCAGCAATTAAAAGAAAGAGATTAAAACAATGGGAAAAATGTGATCCAACTATGTGCTGTCCAGAAGAGGCTTATTTTAGATTCAAAGACACAGACAGGTTGAAATTGAAAGGATAGAAAAATAAACTCCATGCAAATAATAACCAAGAGAGATGAGGCAGCTATACTAATAGGCAAAACAGACATTAAGTAAAAAATTGTTACAAGAGGTAAAGAAGAACATTCCTGATAAAAGGGACAATGCATCAAGAAGATATAATAAATTTAAATGTATATGCACCAAGGAATAGAAATGTGTGTAATTATAGTGGAGACTTCACTACCCCCACTTTCTATGCGGTATAGCACTCCCACACAGAAGATCAATAGAGAGAGCTTGAACAAATTATATCTAACAGATGTATATACATCACTACTTAGAAGAATACACATTTTTCTAAAGTGGACATGGAAATGTCACCACAACAGACCACTGATAGGATATAAAACAAGTTTTAATAAATTTAAAAAGATGGAAATTATACAAAGTATATGCTATCACAATAAAACTGGAAATCAATAATTGAAGGAAAACTGGAAAATACACATCTATATGGAAATTAAACAACACAGTCCCAAATAACCAATGGATCAAAGAAGAAATCACATTGTTACATTTGAGGTAAATGAAAACAAAAACACAACATCTTATGAGATGCAGCAAAAGTAGAATTAAGAGATAAATTTATATCTGTAAATATCTGTTAAATAATAAGAAAATTATCAAATCAGTAACCTAACTTTACAACTTGAGGAACTAGTAAAAGAGGCAAACTAAAACCCAAAGCTATAGAAAGGAAATAAAGATTAAAGCAAAGATAAACCCGAGAATAGAAACTAAAAGTAGATTCTTTGAAAAACATCACCAAAATTGACAAACCTTAAGATAGCCTAAAAAAGAGAGAAAAGACACAACTAAAATCAAAAGTGAAAATCAGCACATTACACCAACCTTAAAGAAATAAAAAAAAAGATTATAAGTCTAAGAACAGTCGTTGCCAGGGTCTGGAGATTGAGGAAGGGCACTGATGCCAAAGCAGCACATGATGATAAAAATATTCAGGATATCTTTCCTGAAATAAATGATTTGAATCTACATATTGAAAGAACCCACAGTGTACCTGGAAAAGTAACCCAGTCAATCCCAAGAAATATCCTAGTAAAACTAATAGATTTTAAAGATCAAGTATCCTCTGAGCTTTCAGGCAAAAATATTACGTCATTTTGAAAGGGAAAAAACAATCAGTCTAACATTGGATTTCCTGCCAACAAGGTAACAGTGGTATAATTGCTAAAAAATATTCAAGGAAAAAAGGGATGAACCGAGGATTTTATATCATCTGAAGCTGTTCTATATGGTGTCAAACCTGGTAAAAACAATTAAGTCTTAGGAAAATTGAACCCTTCTAAGGAATTGACTAGCGTATATTAAGTACTCAATAAATGGTAGCTACTATAGGACAAGTTTCATCAAACCAAGCTGACTGGGGAAACGCAAAAACATGGTGGAAACAGCTCCTGTGTTATAATAATAAGCCTTGTTTGTATGAATTTTAATTATTTCAGCTATTTCACTAATAAAATTTATATAATCTGTTAATAATATTCCGTATTTCTGATGTTTTATTTGAAATCTCATTATATTTTGTAACACCCTACATCACAATATAAAATAGAGAACCAGAGAACTTGTTAATTTACCTGCTAGTTTCTAGAGTCAGAAAAAGTGATAGCTATACCTATGTAAATCTCAGCATTCAGACAAAATAAAGATAACTTTTCCTTCCAAACTCTGTGCAAAGTACAGTTTTCCCTTGAATAACATGGGTTTGAGCCACAGGGGTCCACTAATATGCAGATTTTTTTCAATAAATACAGTCAGTCTTCTGTATCCATAGGGTTTAGATTGAAAACAATATTTTCCATCCATAGTTCAGAATCCCCAAATGCAGAGGGCTGACTATGCATTGTCCATACCATTTTATAAGGGACATGGGCATCCATGAATTTTGATATCTGTGAAAGGTCCTAGAACCAATCCCTCTATAGATACCAAGAGCCAACTATAATTAAGTTTTGGGAGTCAAAAGTTATATGTGGATTTTCAACTGTGCCAGGTCAGTATCTATAACCTCCACATTGATCAAGGGTCAGTTGTTTATGTTCATGACATACTTTTCTTTCAAGATCCTAAACTTTCTATAAAGGTAATTAATTTATAGTTCTCTTTTATCTTAGCCTAAAATTAAACTTTCACAAAGAAAATTCCCAAAATTATACTTCAGAGAAATAATATTGAAAAAAGAAAAATATTTTTAAAAACATATTTAGAAACCACTTATAATGTCATTTTACAACAGCCTAGAATGTATTTTTTCCAAAACTTACAAATATGACTTTTGTAATAATGCAACATTTGACTTCTCAACTTTTAACTAAGAAACACAAATGTATAATTATATACCTTGTTCATTACTCTTATCCTGCTATATTTTCCATATTCCCATATTTTTCTCTTATAAAGGCACAATAAAGTAAAAAATTATGAGAAACATATTTCCTAAGCTATCATTTCCCTCCATTCAACAGCATCTACTCTGGGTTATGTTTATTCTTGAAAGTTGCACTGAAGGCTTCCACAGACTCTGTGCCTCAGCTCCTCCTAAATGCAATAACATTTCACATATAGAAGATCCCAGCAGGTAAAGACCCTACTGTTTGAAAATATTTCCCATCAGAGGAAGAATAACAAAAAATAACATAAATACATTAAGTAAACAGCTCTCTCCTTTTATAGTTTTGTTTGCAACTAACATAACATTTCTTTTCTTCCTTATAGGTACCAGAGATTTGAAAAGGCATTTCTGTTAGCTGTTGACATTGGTGCTCGTGACCTTTTTATGGTGAGTCATTCCCAGAGATGATTTTGTGCCTTCAGTTCTAAGGCTGAGTAAGTTGTCAGCTTTTGTGACCATTAAAAAGGATTACTGTCATTTGTGCCGTAGACACATGGTGGGAAAGCATTATTCCATCTTGGCTTGCAGCTTTGCCTTCATGAAACTGCTCAATAGCCATCTAGTCTCTTTTGACTTCTTGACATTTTCTTTGCCAAGACCCAAAAGATTTTTTATGTTTTCTAAGAATTTATAATTCTTGAACCTTTCTCCTCATGTACCTTGATTTGAGGGGATGACACCTTTCTATCTAATAAGCTTAAATGTCTTTCTAATCCATTTTCTAAAGAAGTATAGCTACAGAAGTCAGGACATAGGGTAAAACATGTCCCATACATCTGGAATGTGCTCAGTTTGTCCCTTCGGTTTTCGTGTAAAGTAACAAATTATGAATGTTCTCACTTGTATTTTTAGAATAATCACAGTATAAAGTGGACCTAAGAGGTTATAAATTCACATACACTTTAGTTCTCCCACTTATTAGCTATGAACAGTAAAACTGACCAGTTTCTTACAGATCCTTGTGCTCTGTATCAGGTTCTTATTTTATAAGATCTTTCACCACAATATCACAGCAAGATTACATGAACACAGGTGGGGTTCCTTTTCTGGTTTCCCAGTGTATTCTGCTCCACAGAGATTTCATTGTTGTCAAAGAAACAATAAAACCAAAGATCCTGAAAACAACAAAAACTTCTGGAAGGCTTTTACCTAAATCTTCTATACAATGAAGACATTTTGTACCTTAAGCTTTGATGCTTTAGATATTAATATGGATTCATGACATTAGGTCACTTGTCTTTGGACTGAGTTTGTCATTTTAATTCTAACTATTGATCATTCAATTGTGCTTTCATTGATCATGAAAAAAATCTTTCTAATTATTGAAAAAGTGTGAACTTTCTGTTATTTGTATGTTATCTGTATTTTGTTATGTCAAACCGAGCAGGCATATTAGTATATTGAGGGAAGGTTTTTTTCATTTTCACCAAAATCTATGCATATAGACATCACAGTGTCAGAAATTTAGTTACAACAAGTTTTAGATTTTCTGACTCCATTGACTTTCCCTCTTTATTTCCACTTTCTCACCTCTGCCACTACTCACCCCAGTAAAGGTAGATTTTCTTAAAAAAAATAAAAAATAAAAACAAAAAAGAGTTCTTCACATCTTTATTTTTTTATATCGATAGTCCCATTCTTTTCCTAGCCAAAATAAGAGCTTGAAGAGATTGAATATTTAAATGTATAGTGTCTGGCAGACTTTATCAACTTATAGTATTGTTCTATAATTTATACTGCTTTGTTTATTAATTAATACATAATCATCAAAGCCATCTTCTAAACTGTTTTTCTAAATACCTGTTTCAGCATTTAGTCTCAGTTTAGCCAGTAACAACATAGAGTCTTCATGTTAGTTTAAATTTCTTTAATCCAAATAGCCTTTCTACTGATAGGTTAACCCTAACCCTAACTCTAACCCATAAGGATTGTTATGTGTAAAAGGTAAGAACCTAAAAGAAGGAGAGAAATAGCGTTTTACTTTCCTTTTTATTTGTAAAAGTGAACAATCTTTATTCAGAAAGTTATATCCTTACTCTTCATGTGTGACTTTATTTATAGCCCAAGTTATATCTTTATTTTTTTAATTAAAACAGTTGGGGTACCATTTTTTAATAAAATCAAATAGGTTTCAAATGTACAATTCAATAATACGTCATATGTATATTGCACCGTGTGTTCACCACCCAAAGTTAAATTTCTTTCTCTCACCAAATATTTGACCCCCCTTTACCCCTACATTCCTCCCCCGCCCCACTTCCCTCTGGTAACCACTAGTCCCTTGTCTGTGCCCATGAGTCTCTGCCATGTTTGTTGCTTTCAGATTTATATCTGACATATCTGTGATATCATGTGGTTTTCACCTTTGGTCTATTTCTCTTAGCATGATTATCTCAAGATTATCCATGTTGTTGCAAATGACAGTACTTCATTTCTTCTTATAGTTGAAGAATATTCCATTGTATATATGTACCACCTCTTCTGTAGTCATCTGTTGTAGGATAATTCAGTTGCTTCCATTTCCTGGCCATCATGAATAAGGCTGCTATGAACATTGGTGTGCATATATCTTTTTGGATACATGTTTTCAAGTTTTGGGGGTAAATACCTACTAGACGGATTGCTGGACTATATGGTGGATCAATTCTTAGTTTTTTGAGAAACCTCCATACTGTTTTCCATAGTGGTTGTACCAGTTTGCAGTCCCACCAGCAGTGTATGAGGGTTCCTTTTTTTCCACATCTAGGGCAATACTTGTTATTTCTTGTCTTGTTAAAGATATCCATTCTAACAGGTGTGATATGGTATCTCACTGTGATTTTGATTTGCATTTCCCTAATAGCTATTGAAGGTGAGCATCTTTTCATGTTTGTTGGCCATATACAGGAGTTTCCTTCTGGACTCTTGATTCTGTTCCACTGGTTCGTGTGTCTGTTTTTCTGCCAATACCATGCCATTTGGACTACTGCTGCTTTGTAGTATAATTTGAAGTCACACAGAGTGATACATACTACCAGCCTCGTTGTTTTGTTTTTTCCCCCCACTCAGGATTACTTTGGCTATTCATGGTCTTTTGTGCTTCCATGCAAAGCTGAGGATTTTTTTGTTCTGTTTCTTTAAAAAAGGCCATTGGGATTTTGATGGGGATTGCATTAAATATGTATAATGCTTTAGGTAATAAGGTCATTTTAGTTATGGTGTTTCTTCCAATCCAAGAATCCAGAATATCTTTCATTTCTTTGTATCTTCAATTTATTTTAATAGAGTCTTACAGTTCTCAGTATATAGGTACTTCACATGTTTTATTTGGTTTATTCCTAGGTATTTTATTCTTTCTATTGCAATTAAAAAAAGGATTTTTTTTTCATTTGCTGAATATCATTAAAGTATAAGAACGTTATGGATTTTGAACATTGGTTGTATCCTAAAACTTTACTGTATTTACTATTTCTAATAGTGCTTTAATGGAGTCTTTAGGGTTTTCTATGTAGAAGATCATGTCATCTGCAG